ATTTGATGATTAAAACAAATGTAACAAAAATTATTATGTCTAATAGGAGAATGATATTTTAAAGTGAGGAAAGTAGATGCAAGTGACATTCCCATACTTCACTTGAAATGACAAAATGTTGATACCAGTAGACACTGAAAAGTTACATTTTTGTATTGTAATACTCAGAACAATCTCTAAGTAAATAATACCAAAAGACAGATTCAAAAACACTACAAATAAATCAAGATGGAATCCTAAACAAATGTTCACACAATCCATAGGAAGGGAAGAAAGGACAAATAGAAGAACAAGATAAAAAGAAAACAAACAAAACAAATAATAAAATGGCTCTCAAGCATCAATAATTTTTTTAAATATAAATATTCTAAGTAAAACAATGAAAAGGCAGAGATTGGCATAATAGAATAAAGCTAAAGGCTATCAAATGGTTCTTAATAATCTTTTCTTTTCTTTTTTTTTTGAATTGGAGTTTCACTTCATCGCCCAGCCTGGAGTGCACTGGCACACTCACAGCCACCCCACCATCGACCTGCTGGGCTCCAGCAATCCTTCCGACTCCGCCTTCCCACTAGCCAGAACTACAGGTGCGTGCTAACACACCTGGCAAATTTTTTGATTTATTGTAGAGATGAGGTCTCACCAACTTGCCCGGGCTTGTCTCAAACCCGCAGGCTCAGGCAATCCACTCACCTCATTCTCCCGAAGTGCTGGGGTTGCAGGCTGAGCCACTGAGCCCGGCCCCTAATCATTTCTTAAATAAATGGATAAGTCATTACTTTTAGAAATTAAATAGGAGCAAATTGTCAGGAAAATAATTTATTGAGAATTATCTTTCCTAATTAAGAAGAAAAGGATATTCTTTCAAATGATCAAGGCACATTTTTTTTTTGCTACTAACAGTTATACAACCAAAAAACATTGACCTTCTTAAGTTGTAGTAGCACAATGTTGATACAAACATTTGATGCTGATAGCACGATAAGAATATTTACTTATTCTAAATAAAAAATAATTTATCAAAGATAAAAGAGTATTTAACTTCAGACTATGATCAAGTATGGTTTATCCTAAGAATGTAAGATATTTTAATTTTAGAAATTTGTTAATATATGCCATCAAATTAATATGTCAAATGGAAAATACATGAAAAAGTCAATGGTAATAATAAAATGAAACAACCATTTCTGGTTTTAAATACAAATATTTAATTAATATATGTTTTATATAAATGATGTAAAAATACTCTGTATTGTGCTATATGTCTATCTACTCAGGTGTCTTATGTGAGAAAACAATGAACAATAAACAATGAATAAAGAAGCAATCAGAAACAATTCACACAATTGAAAATGCAAATGAACAAATATACAGATAAAGGCTAGTATGTTCCCCAAATACAAAAAAGGAAAAACAAAATTCTCATAAAGCCCTCATAAATGAGTATTTAGCATTAAAAGGGAAAGCATAAATTAATAGATGATTGAAATATGCATTATTAATTTGTGGTTAGGTTGCTGGGACATGGGAAGTCTATGCACTGTTGAAAATAAATGCAATTGTAAAGAAATTAGTAAAAAAAAATCAGAAGTGTTATCTACCAATATATTTCAAGAATCTCAAAATTGCGTATATTATTTAACTTGGCAATTATACTTATAGAAAAACGCCCTGAGAAAAATAGGCTAATTTTCTGCAATAATTTATTTATAGATTTATATGTAGTTTATCATTCATGAGTGAAATTTAAAAGTAAATGAAAACAAAAAAGGTTGTCTCAGATGCTACTAGCTACTAATGTAAACTTCATTGACCTTCATCTTCCTTACTAACATATCACTCATTTCATTCTAGGTGGCATGATGACTAACTTTAAGAATGGATTCTTCACTGGTTTTAATAAACCATGGCAATTGAATTTACTGGATACTTTCAGCCTTCCTTCCTACTAGAGATAGCTACATCACCACCCAGTTCTGGACCACAAGATACAAGAAGGTATCTGCTAGAAAGCTTAAGGAAAAATACATCTTTTTCAATAAAAGATAAGCTATTTTGACCCTGTCTCTGCTTTCTGACTCTGACTATGGTGTGAAGACATGATGCCTTGAATGTGGCAATCATGAGGCCACAAGCATAAGAACAAAAGAGCAAAAGTCCCCAGTTGGTACCTGAGCCTGGGCTCAAAAGAAAGGATAAAAAGAGCCTGGGTCCTTGATGACTTTGTTGATATGCCCAATAAACCAAAAAGCTACCTGTCTCTAGACTTACTTATATAAATAAATGTACTTGTGGTCAAGTCGCTGTTATATTTTATATTACTTACAATTTAGTACATTTTAATTGATTCAGGGATTAAATAATCTCCCACAGCAAAGATGGGACTTAGACTCATGTGTATCTGGCACTAAAGTTGTTATATTTATTTTGACTGCACCATTGTGACTTTGAGGAAGTCACATATCCTCTTTGGGCTTAGTTATTTCATTTATAAAATGGGATTTATAATACCTTCTTGGTAAGATTGTTCCAAGAGCCAAATAAGATAATGCCCATGCCCCGGGCTTGGTGGCTCAGCCTGTAATCCCAGCACTTTGGGAGGCTGAGGCGAGTGGATTGCCAGAGCTCGTGGGTTCGAGACCAGTCCAGGCAACTTGGCGAGACCTCATCTCTACAATAAATCAAAAATTAGCCGGGTGTGGTAGTGTGCACCGGTAGTTCCAGCTACTTGGGAGGCTGAGGCTGAAGGATCGCCAGAGCCTAGCAGGTCGATGCTGGGATGGCCGTGAGTGTACCACTGCACTCCAGTCTGGGCGATGGAGTGAGACTCTAACTCAAAAAAAAGAGATTGCACATGAACACTTTTGACAAAGTATAGTCTACTGGACAAACACAAACACAAGTTATTTATATATAAAACTTTTGCAGGAGCACAGTATTGCAATTCGTTCATTTTATCAGAATTTTCTACTAGTGCAGAAGTAAACGGCACTCAGGGAGGTGTTGAGGCAAACAAATTTTTTTTTTTTTTTGAGTTGGAGTCTCACTCTGTCGCCCAGACTGGAGTGCAGTGGCCGCTCCTGGCCACCGCAGCCTCAAACTGCTGGGCTCCGGTGATCCTTCCGCCTCAGCCTTCCAAATAGCCGGAATTACAGGCATGCGCTACCATGCCCGGCTAATTTTTTTATTTATTGTAGAGATGAGGTCTCACTGCCCAGGCGGGTCTCGAACCCGCAGGCTCAGGCAATCTACTCACCTCAGCCTCCCAAAGGCGCGGGATTACAGGCTTAGCCACCGAGCCCGGCTAGCATACATTTCATCATGGGCTTCTCTTAAGAGTTTGGTAGCAGGGTTTGTCATACAGGCTTATTTTTCTCCATTGGAGAAGTTTAGCTTTGTACATATGGATGGCTTTAAAGGTAACAGCCATGTACATGAAAGGAACATTTGTAAGGCTTTTTATCATGAAGATTGATGTTGTATTGAAAATAGATTTTTGTCAAAGCAAAGCAGCTTTTTTGATTGGGTTCATCCTAATATCCAGCATGACCTAACCTCTGGTGGCCTTTCTTTGCTCCAGGTTTCCCTGATAAACTATGTGGGCACCCCTCAGTAGGGCACAATGCTATGTGTAAAGAGTTAAAATTAGTGTTAGGGCATATATCCTTTGATAGCTCTGGGCCTTATTTTCTTCATTTTTACAATACAGAGTTATGAAAAGGGTAGGCTAAATAATAACTATATATTTTTTCTTTTTTTTTGTCAAGTCTGTCAGAGACTAATTACTATATATATTTTTTTCTGCCAATAGAATCATGTCACTTTCCTGCCCAATACCCTCCTAGGGCACTTGGAAAAAAAAATGAAAATTTCTCATAGACCTCAAGTTCCCACATGGTCTGGTGCATACCTCCCTCTCTGACCTCATTGTATACCACTATCCCTCTACTCACCATACACCAGTTACACTAACCTTCTTCTTCTTCCTTGAACATACCTAGTTCATTCTCACTTGGGACTCTGCACTACCTATATCCTCTCCCCAGAAAGCATCTCCTTAGAAAGATCTTCCTTTGTTTCCTGATCTGAAGTAGCCACCCGGTTACTCTGTAATTACATCACCCTAATTTGATTCTTGTCATAACTTCATATCTAGATTGCTCATTTATCTATCTATGTGTCTCATTTATTATGTGTTTGACTAACTGTGCTGTCCATGAGGGCAGCAATTTGTTTTTGTTTTGTCATATTTGTGGTACCTACAACCATGGCTGCCATGTTGCAGGTGTTCAAATAGAAATTACTGAATAAATGAGAGAATGCATAAAACAAGATGTGAATGTACAGAAACTATCTGCTAGCTGTCTGTTTCCTGGTTCTGTAGCTCCAGCAGCAGCCCAAATTTAATACCACCCACAGGTTCAGGGACTAACAAGAGACCTGAGAAAAGATCAATTAAGCAGATTCTGCCTTGAAAACCAGTACTTGGCATAAAGTCTCTTCCTTGCTGGTCATTGTGTTCTGACTCTCATGTCTAATAAGGATTTTAGACCCTCCCTTGTTCCTTACCCCTGAATTCTTCCTGTCACAGCTTCCTTGGTAGCCCAGATCTTCTAAAAGAGAGGACTTCTTGGTTCTTCTCTCTTTCCCATTCCTAAAAACTGGTACCCAGCTCTTGAACTCCAAGTAAATGGGCCTTGCTTTGATAGGTTGATAGGTTTTCCAAATGCTGAACAATCTTCCTAGGTCTCTAGTTGCACATCTTCTCTTGAAATATTTCATTATTTCGTGGGAAATTTCCTTGTCCCTGATTCTGCTATACTGACTTCTTGCTGAAATCACAACTACTTATTATTCTCTACACTTTGGATCCCCAGGTTTTACCTGCTGAACAAGATCAGTCATAGGTAAAACTGACTCCCCTAATCTCGGCCCCTCTCAGTTTTCAGGCTGGTTCTTAATATGTGACAAAAATAAGTATACTAATTAAAGGGACTTACCTTGGAGAGCTCCTGTCCAGGACCACACTGTTGGCAGGTGACACACCGTCCCCACTGGTCCCAGTACTCATTTTCTTGGCAATTCATGGTGGGAAAGCTGTGGGTACAGAACACAAGAACTAGAGAGCTAGTGGAAAGAGACTGCAAGGTAAGTAATGGCTTCTATGTCATTTGACTTCTGGGTTCTCGTAATGCAGTCTCTGACTCTGAGTTAGAGTAGCCAAGGAAGCCAACCCCAAACAGTTGTTGTTTATGTAGCCCTGTGCATGTGCTTGAAACTCTTCTAAAAGCTTTACATAGTAATAACTAAATCAATTCTCAAAGCAACCATATCAGGGATTATTATTAGCTCTAGTTTGCAAATGAGGAAACTGAGACAGAGAAGCTAAGAAACTTGCTCAAATTCATACTGTTAGTGGCTACACAAGGAGCTGAACTAGTAAAGAGAATAAGACAAGGAGTTGACTTCTGTCCATGGAGTAGAGAATAATCACTGTCTCTCACCTGTGACTAGCTCTTAACAGTTTAGAAAGCACTTTCCCATCTATTATTATTTGATCTACACAGCATCCCTGTAAGTTAAGCAGTATAGGGATTATCATCTTTATTTTTCAGATGAGAAAGCTGAAACCTCTTTTCCTTTGTCAACAGTGTCTTCAGTCTTCAGTACTTCTGAGGACCACTGGCTGCCATTGCTCCTGTCCTAGGCAGAATGGAAGAGGAGGATGACTCAGTATGTAGAAATATGTTGATGCACTAAGGTGTAGAGAAGGGGAAGCATTACTCGGATAATAGTTTTTGGAAGACATGTGGCATAGGGCAGTATCACTAGCATTGAACTGAGAACTGGGAGATATGAATTCTAATCCTGGCTATAGAGTAGCCAATAACTTTGTTGCTCAAGATTAAGAAGTTTCTCGGGACATGGGACTTTTAGTGCTAAAACTGGAAAGACGCAAGGCCAACTGGAATTTTGGTTCCTCTATCTGGCTCTTCCCATTTCAGCTTATGATCTTGGATGAATCATTTTATTTTTTCTGGTCTCAGTTACTTGATTGAAACAAAAGGGACAGTGCATTCCTCATCTACCTTATATAGCTCTTGAGGGAATTAAATGAGCAAAAGTCCATCAAGCCATCCTGAAGTTTCTGAAGAACTATACAAAGGATGCAGAAAAGTAGTCTTCTACAAAAAGGAATTTTAATGAGGGAGGCTCAAGTAATTGACAGGTGGGGCTTGTCCTGCTCAAAGAGAAAGGTTAGGTAAGATTCTCTTACTCAAATTTCAAATAGTTTCTCAAAATACCAAAAGTTCTAAATGTGTACTTCCTGTCAGAAGAGAGGAGAACGTGCATATGCACCTTGAGAGGCCAATGTTTCTCTACTCAAAAGTCTTCAATGGAGATGGGGGTAAATCATTCTGGCTGACATTACAGCTTAAGTGCACCATTTGCCACCATCAGCTGGGCCATTCTTTTTCATTCAGAAGAAAGTAGGATACAAAATTCAGTTTTACACAAGATAAACATATTCCCTTCTGTGTTGTTTTGATTACTGGCTCAGGGTGTCTTCCTTATGTTCCTCTCCCCTTGATATGCACCCTACTCATTGAAGACAAAAACCATCAGCGGTTTCACAACCCTCATGACAAGGTAATTGAGCACCATGGGAAGTGTCAACATACTGTTCAGAAACTCTGGAAACCTCTATTGTATCCTTTTTTTTTGACCCACAAAAACAGAAAAACACTGGCAGGAAACAAAAACTGGCCCTACTCTTGAAATAAGATTCCGATACAGGTATCTAGAATCTCCACACCCTCGTCAGTATCTGTTGTTTTTTAGACTTATTAACGGTGATCAATTGGAATGAGTTCATTTTTTTTTTAAAGATGTGGGGCACAATTTAGGGTCAGGTATACAAATAGTCATTGTACAAGTAAAGTTTGGGCCGCATATTGGTCCCCACTTCACCTGGTTTGAGATCAGGTACACTTATGATGAAGTGTGCCCCTGTTCCCTCCCCTGGTAGTTTTCCACTACTGCTGATTCCTTCCCTATAGTACCATGATAATTCTTCAGGGCCCACTTATGAGTGAGAACATGTGATACTCAGTTATTTCTTTCTGTGATAGATCACTCAGTATTATAGGCTCTAAGTCCTTCCAAGTTCCTGCGAAGTTCATAATTTTTTCCTTATTTATGGCTGCATATATTTCATCATGTAAATGTATCACATTTTTTTTTTATCCAGTACGCTTTTGAGGGGCAGCATGGTTGGTTTGATGTTTCTGCTATTGTGAATAATGCTGCAATAAACATGTGTGTGCAGACATCTTTTTCACAGAGTAATTTGAGTTTCTCTAGGTGTATTCCCAGAAGGGGGATTGCTGGGTTGTGTGGAAGGATGATTTTTAGATGTTTTAGGAATCATCACACTGTTTTCTAAAGAGGTTGTGCTAGTTTACACTCCCACCAACAGCGTGGAAGTGTTCCCTTTCCCCTGAATCCTCTCCAACATCTGTTGTTCATTGAGTTATTGATGATGGCCATCCTGACTAGAATTGGGTGGTATCTCAGTGTGATTTTAAATTGCATTACTTTGTTGGTTATTGAGGCTGAGCATTTTTTCATGTATCTGCTGATTGCTCATATGTCTTCTTTTGATAAGTGTCTATTCATATATTTTGCCCACTTTGTAATAGGGCTATTTGTTTGTTTTTCTTTTTGGCACATTTGAGCTCCTTGTAGATCCCGGATATTAGGCTTTTGTCAGGTATACAGTTGGCAAATATTTTTATATTTTTCCCACTCTGTGATTTGTCTCTCTGCTCTCTTGATGATTTCTTTTGCTTTGTAGAAGCTTTTCAGTTTGATGAGGTCCCACTTGTCTATCTTAACTCTTATGGTATGGGCATTTGAGGTTTTGATCAGGAATTGCCAATTCCAATTCCCATAAGGGTGTCTCCTGCATTTTCTAAGGTTATTAGAGTATGAGGTTTTGCATTTAGGTTTTTTATTGATTTAAAATATATTTTTTGTGTGTATATGGTGATAAGTAGGGGTCTTGCTTTAGTCTTCTGCATGTGGTCAGCCAGTTTTCCCAGCACCATTTACTGAATAAATTCACCTCTCTCCAGAAGTTGTTAGTAGAAGCTTTGTTGAAGATGAGTTGGTTGAGAAATTGAGATTTTACTTCTGGAATCTCTATCCTGTTCCATTGGTCTATATGCCTGTTCTTGTAATAATATCAGGCTGTTTTGATTACTGTAGCCTTATAATAAAGTTTAAAGTCCAGAAGTGTGATACCTCCTGCTTTATCTATTTTTCTGAGGATTGTTCTGCTATTTGTGGTCATTTATGTTTCCATATGAATTTCTGTATTGTTGTTTCTAGGTCTGAGATGAACGATGCTGGTAATTTAATGGGCATTGCATTAAATCTGTAGATTGCCTTGGGTAGGATGACCAATTTAACAATGTTGATTCTTCCAATTCATGAGCATGGAATATTTTCCATTTGTTTGTGTCATCTTTGATTTATTTGAGCAGTGTTTTGTAATAAAGGTCCTTCACTTCTCTGGTTAGGAAGATGCCAAGGTACTTTATTTTTTGTTGTTGCTTTTGCTATTGTGAATGAGATTGTGCTTTTCATTTGATTATCTGCCTGTTTGTCATTGGTGTATAAGAATGTGACTGTCTTTTACATGTTGATTTTGCACACTGAGACTTTGCCAAAGTCCTTTATCATTGCAAGAAGGTTTTTGAAAGTTTCTCTTGGATTTTCTAGGTATAGAATTGGCCATGATTAATAAATCAAAAAGCAACAGATGCTGGCAAGGATGTGGAGAAAAGGTAGTGCTTTTACACTGTTGGTGGGAGTGTAAACTAGTACAACCTCTGTGGAAAACAGTGTGATGATTTTTTTTTTTTTTTTTGAGTTGGAGTCTCACTCTGTCGCCCAGACTGGAGTGCAGTGGCCGCTCCCGGCCACCGCAACCTCGGCCTGCTGGGCTCCAGCGATCCTTCCGCCTCAGCCTTCCAAGTAGCCAGAATTACAGGCATGCGCCACCACACCCAGCTGATTTTTTTATTTATTGTAGAGATGAGGTCTCGCTGCCCAGGCGGGTCTCGAACCTGCGGGCTCAGGCAATTCACTCACCTCAGCCTCCCAAAGGCGCGGGATTACAGGCTGAGCCACCGAGCCCGGCTCAGTGTGATGATTTTTAAAAGATCTTAAAATCTACCTTCCATATGACCCAGCAATTCCCCTTCTGGGAATATACCTGGAGGAACTCAAGTCATTTTACAAGAAAACATTCCTGGGCATACATGTTTACTGCAGCACTATTATAGTGTTCACTATTAATAGCAGAAACATCAAACCAACCGTGCTGCCCCTCAAAAGTGTACTGGATAACAAAATTGTTGGTATATATATACACACAATGGAATTGTACACAGTTATAAAGGAGGATAAAATTATGGATTTCACAGCAACTTGGATGGATCTGGAGAATCCATCATGCTCAGTGATCTATCACAGAAACAAAGAGCTGAGTACCACATGGTCTCACTCATAAGTGAACCCTGAACATTTATCATCATACTACATGAAAGGGATTGGGCAGTAGTGGGTCATTCCCAGGGGAAGGGGAGGGCACATAACACTAATAAGGGTACCTGATCCCCAATCAGACAAAGTGAGAACCAATAGGAGGCCCAAACTTCACCTGTACAGTGACCACTTATGTACTTAATCCTGAATTGTTTCCCACATCTTTAAAATAAAAAATAAAATAAACAGGGTTGAGGGAGGGATAGGAGTAAGTGATTTGAGAAGGAATGCAAGTGGGTGATTATCAAGGCACACCATGGAATCTGAGTCAGGCAGAGGCTGAAGCCAACCTGAAAAGGTGAAAGGGTGGTTGGCTTTGGTGGAAACATTTTGGAGGTCTTAGTTGTGCTGAAAAACCACTCAGTCAGAGTAGAGGATACAGTGAGCTAGACCAAGAGGTGGTGTTGGGCAGAAGGTGGGATGCTTAAAATTGTGAATTTAGTTTTTAGTACTGGTCAAGATTCTGGTAGTTGCTAAATCTA